TGTATACGGTTTAGTCAATACAAGTTTGAAATTAACCAGTTCTCCTCGAGTTTTTGAAATTCATATAAGTTGAGGGATGGTACGCACCTGCTCCTCTGTTGTCAATAGCTGTTTAGACAATAAGGATATTCAAAATTTGGCCCTAGGCATCAACGATGAGTTCTAGAAGGACGAGACAGCAGTATGATGCAGTGTAAGGAACCTTTGGCATGCTGTTTATATTACCATATCTTAAAGATGCAGTCACATGTGCGTGTTAGATTCATCTTTAAATACTCGGCCAAGATCTACGACTTCAGAACAATTGATTCACATAGAGAGCAGTAGCTTATGTTTCGGGCTTAATGGGTAAATGTTGTCAAATTGAAATTAACGATTAAAGTAGTCATTTTAGTTAAATAGAATTCTCCTAGTTTAACGTATCAATGACAAGTCCATTCATAATCTAAATAAAGACCCAGCTTCTGATCTTAGATCTACTTCTAAATCCACAGCTGTGTTCTCTCTTACGCCTGTACTTGTGATCGCTGTGGAAATCCCATCATGTTAACCCACTCAAGCTGTGAAAATAAAGAAATAAAAAAAACAATGCTGACGAGGCTGTTTCGTCTGTTGCTTTTCCTGTTCTTGAGTGATCTCCTTTTTCTGACTGTGAATCTTTCTGAACGCCCACAGTGGGTATCTACACAATGTACATAGCTGATGTTCGTGCTTCCTTGGTGTTTTTCTTCTCCTTCCTAATGTCTTTTCCCTTTGACACGAGTAGTGGTACTTTTGTATCTGTCTCACCAGGCCTCGCCCTTTGTTTGTCTCTGATTAGCTGACGGACCGTCGGGATGGAGTTACAAGGATCTCAATACAACTTACAGAATACTTAACATTGAACACGTCTCTCAATATGACCATACCTTTGATAAATCATTTCGGAAAAGACACCCATACCTCGCGGAACTTTTATGTAGCCTGGTCAACGGGAGCGTTCTCACCCAGTCGAAAGAAACATTAGTTAGCTTTGTATTTGTGCTTCAGATATTTGTTCTATATGATATGTGAGAAAAACCTTTGGGTCCCAATCCTTGAGCTCTATTTGATAGAACGAATACTATGAAAGGATTAAAAAATATGCAGCTGTCGGTGTTTCTCGGCTAATCGTGTTGGTGCCGTAGGTTGTGAGTTCGAGACCCGGACAGGGCATGAGTCATAAAATTGTCTTCCTTTGTCAATAATGTTTCTGTGTAATTCATCCAATTACTGAAAATAATGTATCACATACACTAGTGTATGTCGACCCGAATGTATAAGACATGAACCATCTGTCGAAAATGAGTTGTGTCTTATGTACATTTTCTATGTACTTTTAAGACATTATCTAGAGGTCTAACACAGGTCACCATCGGTGTTGGTTAGCAAAGAAACCATTTCACTTAATGTAATAGTTGTGGCAGTAAATCCTTATCGTATTGGTTGTTACGCTATGAAATAGTAAACCTGCCTTCGTATTGACAATAAATCTACCGATGACGTCAGGGATATGCAGAATATAAAGCTAGCCTTTCATTGGTGTATTATAAATGATAAATAACCTGGCGGGGGTTAATAGAGAAGGTCTGAGTAGATGTTGTCTGATTTCTGATTTATACAAAATATAATGAAAATAAAGATGTACGCGTCTGGTTTGTCGTCGTAAATAAAGATAAACCATCAACTGAGCGTTAACACGTGAGACGCTGTTTCAGACACATAACACGTGACCTAGCCACATTAAACCCTCAAACAATACCTCTAATTATGCCCGACAAATTTACATAATAGTCCAATATATCATTGAACTAGCTACCCAATGTAAATACCATAATCACCCCGGAATTAGATTATTGTTATCTAAGTCCGTGGTTTTGCTATGTAATTGTCACGTGATCATGACGACATATTAATGTGCCTCTAAAGTAACTATTGGACTTTGTACTTTGAACCCCACTATTTTCTGAAGTGATAAGTTTTTGTTCAAATTCGCAAATTGAAATGTTCTGTTACATATACTATCGATTCCTAAGATAACTATATGTGCTATCAATATTGAAAACAACTAACAGGCACTGTTCACACATTAATGTACACACCAAAATACAGTGATTAACGGTATATGATTTTGAGAAACAAATAGCGAGCTTTATCTTGTTAGAGACCGATTACAAACAATTGGCATGAAATACACTTAACCCTGCTAATTTGACCCCTGAGTGTTCCGAGAACCTGTCGCATCATTCTTGAAGTTGTGAAACTATTTTTATATAAAAAAAAAAACTACTCAATAACACTTTATATATGGTCACCCTTTCAAATCTATGCAATGTGTAAGACACGAATTCGTTATCAAATCCATGGTAAATTCATACATTTATTATTTTATTTTTTTCCCCCTTGAAAATCAGTTTTTATTCAAAATAAATTGCTCTCATACAAATAAACCAGAATTATAGAGGATTGATTGCGATAATGCAATAATGCAAAGGAATGTGTATGATATAATCTATCCGAGGTATTCGTATAGTGCTACGGGGTGACACCGTGACAAACATGTCAATAAAAAGTTAAATTGTCACTATTTAAACTAAAAAGACGTGACTCTGTATGTCATGCTTAAACGACCGTGTAATCATCACTGAGTGCCTTATGTTGCAGAACATACGTGTATGTTTACTTTTGATCGCCTAGTTAAATTAGAAGTTTACACATTAATGCTGCAGACATTTGAACAATAACCATATTTTACCCCATTGAATATGACGTGTGTCTCGCCTATTTATGCATTTAGATGGTTTCAGTCACTATAAAACAATAGCTGTCGTAGTAGATAAAATCTGGGTAAAAGTAATGCATTTTTTTCCCAGAAAGATTATACTTTAATGGCAGTTTGTACAGTCACTTAATACCTCGCTGTGAAGTCGCTAGAGCACTTTGTAGTTATTTTCACTTGTTCGATGTCAAAGTCTCGTTTAACATGTAACATGTCGGAACTTCCTATATGTCAGAAATGTTCAACACATACATCATAAACTATGGAATAAATACGTAACAGCGGTGTTGCTATCGAAACACTAAAATCATTTTAAAACTATGTTGTATTTACATTATGTTTTGATCAGTATGCCTTTCCACTCTATTTTTAGCTTTATTTTGGTGGGGTTTTTTTAATACAAATTTATAGTTAAATAAAAGTGCCTTTGTTTATAGAATGCACCACCTGTGTGCCGTAGCCGTGTCGTCTACTGTCGTGTTCCCGTATATTTCCTGAGCTATCTAAATACTGCTCTGTAATTATCACAGAATTTTCCTTTCTGACACAAGTTCCACCCTTGGAGTTTTCAAATTGGTGCAAAACGCTCGACAGAGCCTCGTATTTCTGCCGTCAAATCTTTGAATCTCAGAAAGAGGCCGATTGATGGTGTACGTACTGACAACTAGGCAAATCTAAACTACTATAAAAATCCGTTCATACAAAATGTACACTGTGTATCTAGCATATATACATATTTACACTGCTACCTGCACCGGAGTTTTAAATAAACTGAGTAAACGACAGCCTGCGTATACGTTTTGTGCTTTCTTTTGACGAAATCAGACGTCTTTATTGAAAACCGACTAAAGCGACATCTTCATTTAATATTCTCGATTATTTTGACATGCCTTAATAAACGGTGATCGTGCAGTTATCTTCATTAAATACATGTCTTAATGTGCGTAATTCAGTTACACATTGATAGAAAGCGCATACTTTTTCTCAACCTTGCAACAAGAATGGTGTCAAACTCGAAGATGTTACAACATACTTACATTAGGAGTTGTAGAGTGAATATAGCAATATTGTTACTGTTTTAAAACATCAAGTTTACTTTGGCAGAAGGATACAGAATCTTCCACAGATGGCACCCATTCTCTATGTACACCTGTTGTTACAATACATCAGTACCCCAATGTCCATCTCCAATAAAACAGACTGCTATAAGTGACGAAATTCATACATTTAGTTAATGTCGCAGGATAAAAGTTAGTAATCTTTTGAAGAAGGGGACTGCAATACTGTCGAACGAAACCGGATGTTGGCGTCGCTGTCTGTGACGTAGCATTCTGAAAGGTTATAGTGATAAAAAAAAGTACAGCAATTGTCGCCAAATTAAAAACAAAATGCGTTTCATTACCTTGGCATGTATTTCATTTCCTGTCCGTCAGAAATGTCAACATTTTGTCTTTTTTTTAAGGCAAGAATCTTTTTTCCAATTTTGACAGTTTAAGATCTGATTTTCAGTATTGATATTTTTTAAGAAATAGATAAAAAGCTTTTAGATTAGAGTCTATGATTAATTAATGAGATTGCATAAAAATAGGTCCCCCATAAATAATTAATTACTCTTATCAACGACCTATATATGCTTATGTACGTATACGTATGAAAACGAGGATGATCCTAAGGATCTCCGTACCACTGATAAAAACTGTGGCAACATGTATGCATTAGAAACTGATTTCTCCGGCATTACTATAGCTATGATAAATCATTCCTCAAGAAAAGCATGCGTTGCATCACTTATGAAAACTAGTTAAGATGAAACGAACAAAGCAAATTCAACAACATTGTTCTAAGTGTAAAACAATTCAAAGGGGCTAGACCCGGATTTGAACCCTGGACTTTTATACTTACAATCTCTAACTGACCGAGTCATCTAGTCAACGGAAGTATTCTGGCTCAACAGTGCTACAGTTAAATCAAAAACGAAATCAAGGAGAGGTTACTGTATATAAAACCACAGAACAGTTTGACAGAGGTTCATAAATTATTTCTTATTCGGTTTGGTAAATAAGCGTCAACAGATGAAACAAATATATATATATTTGTATATGTGTGAGTGTGTAAAGCAATGGCTTTATTGCGTATGCCTTTGCGGCACATAAATGTGATCAAATAGAACAAAATACATAATGTCTTTTATTTTGTGTTTTAGCCGCATCGGTATCTAGGACATGTACAGAAAACGCCACCTGGTGGATGCCTCCGAACTACAGCTCTTCGAGTTACATCGATTTCTCAAGCTGCAACGCAAAAACTGAAACAACGGTAAGTATTTGTTGAAGAGACAACGGCAGTAATTGTTGATAACGTACACAGTATATTGATAATGTCTGTGTTGATTTAGTGTTTTAATTTATCTTACTTGCAAAGTGTATTCTGATATGGCCGTCGGGGTCAAATAATTAGAGTAAACGTGAACAATAGATTCACGATATTGGATTCAAAATATGTTACATGTAAGCCGTGATGCGTTAGATACATTGTATTTAGCCTTTTCTCTTAATCATGTCGATATGAATAATTGAGTGGTCGGGTGGCGCAGTGGATAACGCACTTGTCTTTCTCCAAGGCTGCAGGGGTTCGATCCCCCGATGGGACATGAAAAGGTTGGGGTCACCTGCCCGACTATATGGGTTGTCTACGGGTACTCCGGTTTCCTCCCACACTAAGACCACTGCGCGCTAACATTCGGGTCAACAAGAACGGTTAAAATTAGCTGAACTAACTTGTTTTATAATTGTTGAAATATAAATGAAGTTTATAAATATATATGAATAAATATTGTGATGTCATAACGCGTTAAGCGTTGTGAAATAAGTTAAAAATATAATCTGATATACAATGTAGATGTGATAAAAACTTCCGAACAAATTACAGATACATGTCATAAATAAAAATTGAATATAGTTATAAGATAAATTTATATAAGTATATTAAATACAGAAAACATAGCGATCACTACTTTATCTGAGACGTTCACCTGAATACCGAACGTCACTTACTGTCAATTTTGACTGGTTCCTTGAGGCGCTTGATAACCGCTGAGATAGGGTAAACTGACAATCATGGCGGCGATGGATTTCATGTTTATCCGGTAATATTTCGGTGTAGAAATGGTCGTTGTCCAGTTCACCAAGTCAAGGGGACGTCTCGGTGAAGGGAAACATTTTGGTATAGCTCATTGATAGTTCACATGCAGAGTCAGATTTAAATATTGCTTCAATTTAATTTGCATGAAAGTAAGAATTCATGTCCATTAAGTCCATTAGTTCTGTGTTGTCTGAAACGTTAATTGTCAAGATCGTTGGTACTAGAACATCAACACTGATTGACGGAATTTTGCTGACTTCAACAAGATTGTCACGTGATATTCTGCAGACCAAATGATATCATACATGTACATGTGATAGATAGCTTGTAGAAAACGTAACGATACGATCGTTCAAGCGCCGAAAAATTTACAACCTCCATGTCAAACTTTGATTTTGTCTACCTTTGTAAAATATATAGTCATCAACAATAGACGCGAGTCAGTAAAATGGGGGGGGGGGGGGGGTGGCACATACGACAATGCACAATGCACAATACGAAGCATCTGACAAAATACTTCGAATACCGTCCATTATTTGATTTTAACACTATAACCCCTCACCACCACCACCACCTGTTTTATAATGCATTTCAATTCATTTTTTTGTCTCCTTTCCCTGCAGGTAGGGCGTAAGAATTGTACCTGCTGCCCCCAATTGCATGATCGTAAGAGGCGACTAAATTTGGGACCTTATCTCTTCTCTCCTTTCTAAATAACTTTATTCTTCCTAATGTCTCCCTTGACAATGCCTCACTTTTGGCCATTTGTTGAGCGTTCGCCCCTGTGAGGAAGGCTTTGGGTTCTGTCCCCTGGCCGAGACATACCAAAGTCTTTAAAAATGGTAGTTTCTACTCCTGCTTAACGCTCAGCAAATTAGGAGTGGGACGACTGGTTCGCCCGTTGTCAGTATAATGTGACCGGGTGGGGCGTCCTGCTGGGTGTCTTCGGCAGTATGTTTCAGTGAGGTAGCACTATAAAGTCGGCATCAGTTCCGCGCTATCACAAGGAGACAAACACGAACATATCGCAGCCTCCCAAAATACACACACATACACTACACGCATGCATCTTGCACACAGGGGTGGTCGTCCTTAAATGACCTTAGCTGTTAATAGGACGTTAAACAAAATCAAACAAACAAACAAACAAAAATGTCTCCTTGGCTCCGATATCGCGTATTGCTGTCGACGTTATGTTCAGATTATGTAATTTAGTGTAGGCGCTATTCTATGATATACATGTATTACATAAAATATTCTAAGGTTATTGTAACTCAGGTTGCAACTCAAACGTTTAGGCAAAATTTATGGACATGTCAGAGTCGAGGACTTCACTTTGTAAACGTTCTATAGTCCCCAGTATGGTTTTAATTGTCGTCTATAAGAATTAATTTTGTCGATAAACACAATAGCGTAATACATCTTACAACTGAGCTAATAGTGAGAGCATGTGTGTGATAAATTTGTAAATAGTATCAATATCATTTACCAGACGGTTAAGTATTCGGCATTCTATTAGTGTTGCTGCATATAAGTACCTAAATGATAGCTATTTTATAGGTTTTTTTTTTTTTAATTTAAACCTTTTCATTCTAAATAATATTGTGCAAGGAAAATCTACGAGACGTACTAATGGTTTCAAGATTTTTTTCTGTGTTCGTGTTCCTTACAGTCCTCCTGCAGTTATAGAGCTATAAATGCAATGACATTTGTCTTCCGGTAACTGTGACGGCATCTGCATTGTAATGTTATGAACGCAATACCAGTGTTGGCGATTATAAGCTAGTGTCGGTCAAGGACTGTTTTCTTTATTGTGATTCATTCTCAATCTGATGAACTTGTTTTAACATTAAGCATATTCTTATTTGCAAAATTTCTTATTCTCATGCGGGAAAAATGATAAAACGTCAATATATATAAAAAAAAATATGAAGGGGCTATTTTCATTATTGCAACGGCATTGGTTTATAATCATATTTGCAATAACTCTAGCGAAAGAGTTACAATTAATACCAGCATGGATATGGATTAAAACTATTTGTGCTCTTGTACATAGAAGAGAACGTATTCGTTGGACAGACTAGGTATGATTGCAGTATCGTGGATCCTAAGCGTATAAAATGGTCTAGGGTGGATCTTGCGGCATCTGTGCTGTAGCATTCAAGTGAGGTGGCACTATATATGACACCGTTGGAAGCACGGTTCCACTTCAAACAGAACACAGTACATCTCCAGCACACACGCAGGCAAACGCACATATGGAGATACTAGCCCGGTGACATAGGACTAGTAGTTAGCGCCTGATAAGGCAGCTCCTGAGGATTCCTCATAAAATGTATTGATTTATGTATATGCTAATTGTATTGATTGTACAAATTGTATATCTAAGTACTGTAACGCGCTTTAGAGTGGCTTATTCTAGCTAGATAGGACGCCATATCAAATGTATGTTATATATTATTATTGATATATGAATGTTTGTAAATCATGCTCCGTACTTGAATTATGACGATGCTTAGAAAGCAATACTCCCTATGTTAGGTGTAGGATTTGCAGGAATAAAAGTAGTTATGTTCTTATTTCAACATGCAGAAAATAGACATTCAACATGATTTGATGTTTTAACGATAGCAGTGTATTTTAGTTGTTTACAGTTGTGTTATTTTGTCTTTAGAGTCCATTTATATTGATTGTATTAGAATACATAAATGTTATGAGTTATAACGATTTTGATGGCCATTTTATTCTTTTGGTTTGAGTATAAAATCATGAATAACACTTGAAGCAAGTAATGTTTTAACATCAAATTTTATTTTTTTAAACTGACATTTCGACGAATTATTGCTATGTTTCTCTTGACTTTGTGCTGAAAAATGTAATTTATGTTCTTGAAATTCTTTTATTTTTTTGCATATTTACAGGAAATAACCGAGCACCGTCATATTTTCCTGTTTATAGCCGGATACTCACTGTCCATATTACTACTGACGGTATCCTTAGTGGTGTTCTTCTGTTACAAGTGAGTACATTTAATAATCGCATCCCTTAGGTTGAGATTCGTCAGCCTTTCCCCCAAGGTGAGGAAAGACTATATTAATCTAGGTCACCGTACTTGGCATAGGTGTATGGACATTGACATAGACACGAAAATGACTTCCAATTTCGTACTTGGTTGAACAGATATAATAAACAAATGTTTGTATATTATGGTGGTAATTAAATGTTGGCAAAGTAGTCAACTCCGACCGTAAGCGGTCTTTGTTAACTACATTTTTCACTATCGTTATTTATTCTACCATAATACACGCACATCATTGATTGTTTCTTAAGGAAAGAAATAGATAGCCCCAGTCTGATGGCATTATGCAGCGCAATCGGAAGAAACAAGTTCGGGCATTTAAATGATCCACAAAATATATTAGATATGTATACCTGATGTAATATTTCTTGGAACAATACACCACCATGTAGTCGTTTAGTTGCATGCCACACGTGCTACAAGAACCACCTATCTCCCGGAACACCTACTCCTGTCTCAAGTTTATTGTTTGGTATAATTATGTCATTATTATGTTTTATCATATCCTTTAGTTTTTTCCTCGTGGCTCTATTTTAGGAGTCGTGCGCTGACGCTATACCTTGCCACAACTCAAGTGGAAAACACTGTCCAATATTACGTAAAACTACATGTCATAGAAGACCAACCCAAACTTAGAAAGAAAATCAGTCTAGTAGACAGTTATCATCTAAGAAATGTTCACATATCACGCCCGTTCTGACTGTAGACGGAGATCACAGCATAGCAATTTGTTTAGGAGACGAAAATGATAGGTACTTTCAACTACGGGAGAGTCGTGGCGTGCTAGAATAATATCTAGTATACATAGCCTCACTATCGATACCCATGTGCCCACTTGTTCGTCGTTATATCTAGATATGTTGCCGTTCGTCTGGGCCGTGCTGTGCAATGCTGATTACATAAACTTACAATGTAGCAACAAGTTATCACAAAGCTTTGATACAGCCTGATGTAAACAGATTGAAATCAAGAGTTAAAATAGATGTATAGACGGATTGAAAATGATTATATGAACACACATATAATACATAAATAACTATAAATTTATCTCAAAAATATTCAATAGGAATTTTGCACGAACGACTGGTTATTCTGACGAGACCTCCGACAACCAGTGGTGTTTATACACTTTTGTATTACTTATATGGCAATATATTCACATTAAAGGGAGACAACCGGGATATTGCCAGCCCTCTGTAATCTCGTCATTCAGTTAGGTTATACATGTGGCACCATAGAAACTAGTGGGTGACACGATTTATGACCCTTAGATTGGCCAACTGCCAGTGCCCACCGTACGTCTATGACCCTTAGATTGGCCAAATGCCAGTGCCCACCGTACGTCTATGACCCTTAGATTGGCCAACTGCCAGTGCCCACCGTACGTCTATGACCCTTAGATTGGCCAATTGCCAGTGCCCACCGTACGTCTATGACCCTTAGATTGGCCAATTGCCAGTGCCCACCGTACGTCTATGACCCTTAGATTGGCCAATTGCCAGTGCCCACCGTACGTCTATGACCCTTAGATTGGCCAATTGCCAGTGCCCACCGTACGTCTATGACCCTTAGATTGGCCAATTGCCAGTGCCCACCGTACGTCTATGACCCTTAGATTGGCCAATTGCCAGTGCCCACCGTACGTCTATGACCCTTAGATTGGCCAATTGCCAGTGCCCACCGTACGTCTATGACCCTTAGATTGGCCAATTGCCAGTGCCCACCGTACGTCTATGACCCTTAGATTGGCCAATTGCCAGTGCCCACCGTACGTCTATGACCCTTAGATTGGCCAATTGCCAGTGCCCACCGTACGTCTATGACCCTTAGATTGGCCAATTGCCAGTGCCCACCGTACGTCTATGACCCTTAGATTGGCCAATTGCCAGTGCCCACCGTACGTCTATGACCCTTAGATTGGCCAATTGCCAATGCCCATCGTACGTCTATGACCTTTCATTTCAGCAAATCTATTGGAAAAATATGCAAAGGGATAGGGCATCAGGCAAAGCCTATATAAGCCTTCTCCTTACAACTTTGGTATGTTATATGTACAGTCATTGAAATCATCAAACAAACATATAAACAATTCATATAGTGTGTCTCCATGTCCCTACCGTACAAGGTATAGTTATGATTAAACAAATCTTTCAGTGTTGATAATGGACTCTTATATACATTGTAGTACAAATGCATTGGTTTCTTCATCACATTCATGACATCCATGAAGCAATGTGCTTAAATTGAAGTAATGTGTTTAAAATGGTCATGCATGGGTTATATTTTGGTTAATCAGCTGATTTCTAAGTGTCAATCGAGAATGGTTGAATAGAGGACAGATAAAACAAATAATGTTCCGCAGTTTCCTCACCAAGGTTGCATGTGCATATTGGAGAATCTTTTAAATGGTCAAGAAAAAGGTCAGAGTTCAAATTGCTGTCTTCATTTCTAAGTTGACACATAATTATATTTATATTTCGACTGCCATCATTGGCAAATGTTTTTGTTGTAGCCGAGACAGTTTCATTTTTTTGAAGAATAGAGCTTTAAATTGTGATAGAGAGTTAACATTGGATAAATCAAAAATAGGAGCGAATGAGTTGAATTCCCTAAACGTCCTTGGAAAATAGCTACTATAATAGCTTACTGTTCTACATATTGGAGTGTTGAAATATCTAGTCGTCCTTAATGGATATCTTTCATTTTCATTGTGATATATAAATGGTTGCACTATATCTTTCAGATGTTGCGGGGGCATGCCGTGAAGTATCTTAAACATTAATATTAATTTATATGTTTGTCGTCTATCTGAGAGAGATTCCCTGACAAGTTCTTTATATAATTTATGATGAGAGGTACATCTGCGCAATCCTGTTATGACTCTAGCAGCTTCTAAACGAACAGATCAAGCAGTTGTTTAGATTGTTCCGTGCAATTGTCCCAAAAGACGTCTGCATAATCCAATGATGGCAAAATATATGTTTTATATATCTTTAAAAGAGTTTTCCTTGAGACTCGTTTTTAAGTGATTTTAATATATTTACCTTTTTAAACGCTTTTTTTATATATATAATTTACATGGTGAATCCATTTACCATCTTCAGATAAAATAACACCTACATGTTTGTGAGAAGCAAGGGATTGAACTGGGCTATTGTTAAAAACTCTGGATGTAGCGTGTCTCTTTTCATAGTAAATAGCATTGATACTGTTTTTGAAGGGTTGAAATTATTATCCCACTTTTTACCCCAAGTACTAATATTTGAAAGTTTTTCTGAAATTTTATTAGCTATTTCAATATTGTTATTTTCAATTATTTCACTTTAGGATGTATCATCAGCAAACAATTTTATGTCACTAGTTACAATATCGGCTATATCATTGATATATAAAAGAAATAAAAAGGGACCTAAATGACCTCTATGACCTTCGCTGTAAAGGGTCCGTCACATCATAACGTTTTGGTCAGCGTTCTATGACGTTTGCGGATCGTCCGTGATCGCTGGTATAGCGACAGAAGAGCGTTGTGTGAACGCTTGTGGACGTTGGTAATCGTCCGAGGTCGCTGGTATAGCGACAGAAGAGCGTTGTGTGAACGCTGGTGAACGTTGGTAATCGTCCGAGGTCGCTGGTATGGAGACAGAAGAGCGTTGTGTGAACGCTGGTGGACGTTGGTAATCGTCTGTGGTCGCTGGTATAGAGACAGAAGAGCGTTGTGTGAACGCTGGTGAACGTTGGTAATCGTCTGTGGTCTCTGGTATAGCGTCAGAAGAGCGTTGTGGGAACGCTGGTGGACGCTGGTAATCGGAGGTGATCGGCGGAGAACGCTGGTCCGAAAATAAAGTTTTGAACATGCACAAATGTTCTCATGGAGACCAGCGTTCTTCGACGTTTAACTTTAAACGCTGGAGAACGTTCGTGGAACGTTGTACTAACGTTCACCGAACGTTGCACGCGTTCGGCTATTGTTAGTCAGTCGTTACCCTAGCGTTACTTGGTTGTTAATAATCGTTCACAATTCTAATTACGTTAGACGGACACTTTTCGAAGACATAGCGTTGAAACCGAAAACACTCATAATAAATACCTCAAGGTTCGCTCTGTTATTCTTACATTCAAGACCACGGTAGTGGCTTTGTGACAATAAAAGTGTGCTTTGCAGGATAAAAAATAAAGAAAACACTATAGTTATATTAGGTATTGTAGACAGTGGGGATGTTGCCGTGTGCCTAATATTGACTCTTGCCGACAAATATTCCCCACACATTGACGTTTGGTGGCGAGTATTGTACTGGTTTTTTTATTTATTAAGTTGTTTTGTTGTATATTACAGACAACTGTTATGTGGCGGCGTGGCTATTACAATTGGTTTGTTGTATGTCACAGACAACTGATATGTTTTAGCGTGTCTATTACAATTGTTTTGATGTATATTACAGACAACTGATATGTGGCGGGGTGTGTATTACAATTGTTTTGTTGTATATTGCAGACAACTGATATGTTTTGGCGTCTCTATTACAATTGCTTTGTTGTACGTCACAGACAACTGATATGTTTTAGCGTGTCTATTACAATTGTTTTGATGTATATTACAGACAACTGATATGTGGCGGGGTGTGTATTTCAATTGTTTTGTTGTATATTACACTGATATGTTTTGGCGTGTCTAATACAATTGTTTTGTTGTATATTACACTGATATGTTTTGGCGTGTCTAGTACAATTGTTTTGTTGTATGTCACAGACATCTGATATGTTTTGGCGTGTCTATTACAATTGTTTTGATGTATATTACAGACAACTGATATATTTTGGCGTGTCTATTACAATTGTTTTGATGTATATTACAGACAACTGATATGTGGCGGGGCGTGTATTACAATTGTTTTGTTGTATATTTCACACAAACTGATATGTTTTGGCGTGTCTTTTACAATTGTTTTGTTGTATATTTCACACAAACTGATATGTTTTGGCGTGTCTATTCCAATTGTTTTGTTGTATATTACACTGATATGTTTTGGCGTGTCTAGTACAATTGTTTTGTTGTATGTCATAGACAACTGATATGTTTTGGCGTCTCTATTACAATTGCTTTGTTGTACGTCACAGACAACTGATATGTTTTGGCGTCTCTATTACAATTGCTTTGTTGTACGTCACAGACAACTGATATGTTTTGGCGCGCTTATTACAATTGTTTTGTTGTATATCACAGACAACTGATATGTGGCGGCTTGTCTTTTACAATTGTTTTGTTGTATATTACACTGATATGTTTTGGCGTGTCTAGTACAATTGTTTTGTTGTATGTCATAGACAACTGATATGTTTTGGCGTCTCTATTACAATTGCTTTGTTGTACGTCACAGACAACTGATATGTTTTGGCGTTTTTATTACAATTGTTTTGTTGTATACTACAGACAACTGTTATGTGGCGGCTTGTCTATTACAATTGTTTTGCTGTATGTCACAAACAACTGATATGGTTTGGCGTGTCTATTACAATTGTTTGGTTGTATATTACAGACAACTGATATGTGGCGGGGTGTGTATTTCAATTGTTTTGTTGTATATTACCGACAACTGATATGTTTTGGCGTGTTTATTACAATCGTATTGTTGTATATTACAGACAACTGATATGTTGTGGCGTGTCTATTACAATTGTTTGGTTGTATATTACAGACAACTGATATGTGGCGGGGTGTGTATTTCAATTGTTTTGTTGTATATTACCGACAACTGATATGTTTTGGCGTGTTTATTACAATTTTTGTGCTGGATGTCACAAACAACTGATATGTTTCGGCGTGTCTATTACAATTGTTTTCTTGTATATTACAGACAACTGATATGTGGCGGCTTGTCTATTTCAATTGTTTTGTTGTATGTCACAAGCAACTGATATGTTTTGGCGTGTCTTTTACACTTGTTTTGTTGTATGTCACAGACATCTGATATGTTTTGGCGTGTCTATTAAAATTGTTTTGTTGTATATTACAGGCAACTGATATGTGTCGGCGTGTCTATTACAATTGTTTTCTTGTATATTACAGACAACTGATATGTGGCGGGGGGGGTATTACAATTGTTTTGTTGTATATTGCAGACAACTGATATGTTTTGGCGTCTCTATTACAATTGCTTTGTTGTACGTCACAGACAACTGATATGTTTTAGCGTGTCTATTACAATTGTTTTGATGTATATTACAGACAACTGATATGTGGCGGCTTGTCTATTACAAATGTTTTGTTGTATATTACAGACAACTGATATGTGGCGGCGCGTCTATTACAATTGTTTTGTTGTATATTACAGGCAACTGATATGTGGCGGCGTGTCTATTACAATTGTTTTGTTGTATATTACAGACAACTGATATGTTTTGGCGTGTCTATTACAAGTGTTTTGTTGTATATTACACACAAACTGATATGTTTTGGCGTGTCTAATACAATTGTTGTGTTGTATATTACAGACAACTGATATGTGGCGGCTTTTCTATTACAATTGTTTTGTTGTATATTACAGACAACTGATATTTGGCGGCTTCTCTATTACAATTGTTTTGTTGTATATTACAGACAACTGATATGTTTTGGCGTGTCTATTACAATTGTTTTGTTGTATATCACAGACAACTGATATGTGGCGGCTTTTCTATTACAATTGTTTTGTTGTATATTACACACAAACTGATATGTTTTGGCCTGTCTATTACAATTGTTGTGTTGTATATTACAGACAACTGATATGTGGCGGCTTGTCTATTACAATTGTTTTGTTGTATATTACAGACAACAGATATGTTTTGGCGTGTTTATTACAATCGTTTTGTTGTATATTACAGACAACTGATATGTGGCGGCTTGTCTATTACAATTGTTTTGTTGTATATTACAGACAACTGATATGTGGCGACGTGTCTATTACAATTGTTTTGTTGTATGTCACAGACAACTGATATGTTTTGGCGTGTTTATTACAATTGTTTTGTTGTATATTACAGACAACTGATATGTGGCGGCGCGTCTAATACAATTGTTTTGTTCTACATTACAGACAACTGAGATGTGGCCGTGTTTCTATTCATAAGAATCTGTTCCTGTCGTACGTGTTCACCGGAATAACATGGATATTGTATTACTCATTAGTGGCCATGGATGGACAAGTGATGTTCGATAATCCGGTTCGTTCGGGCTTCTTTTTTTTGTGTATTATTATTATCAAACAGCTTGACTTTTTTAGAATATAATTTATCTGCTCAGACTTTTCATATGGCGTCTTTCATATAATTTTGTTTGTATATTTGTTGACGTAATCCCCTGACATCAGTTCTACCCATGAGAGTTGTCATTTTCAAAATAGCTGGCGATTCCGGAAGCTGGTACATAGATAAAGTGGCGTCGGATCTAATCCCGAACATATCATTTTGCTTAAGTAGCTTTTAAATATTTTTTCAATCTTTTTCAAAGCGAAAAGTGTATCAGTTAAGGAATTTAGTATAATTGATTGATTGTGTTTCAAATAAATTAATTAATGAAACAGAAAATATATATTTCTTGTCCATTTCATAGGCAATACATTTTAGCGGAGGCGTAAATCTACCCATACGTGTTTTGGTTTGGAATAATGTCACTGACCCCTTAACATCATGGAAAACACCGTTTTTAATTGGAAACCAGAAAACGTCTTAATAAATGATAATAAATTAAAATGAGAATAATTCTGCTGTGTGTTGAGATCTGCGTCGATAAATTGTCATTATACCGACGCCGACATCCGTGTTTACTGGCTCCTTTCATTAAAACCTTAATGGAGAATTTTAATTTGTCATTAAGAAATTCTTCATTGATGTTCACATTGTAGTTGTGGTGCCGGACCCTTCGACCTTTGGCGGAGTATTTCACAGGCTGTAACTTTGCTTGGATGTTCTGCGAGGGTCTTTATCTCCATACAACATTGTTCAAGGCAATGAGCACCGGGAAAACCCTACTTCTTGTGTGCTACGCCACCGGCTGGGGTAGGTCATGTTAAATGTTAATTATCTAAAATGAAAGTTACATGTAAAATTTTATTTACACCTTCGACCCAAACGCTTAGAGAATATGTCATTATCATTTAATTGTAGCAAATGTTGGTAGCCCCTCACCCCAGCATGATTCAGGCCGAATATTGTTAACACAGGCTTCTTGGTCATTCACATGAGGTTGTGTTAAGAGTTTAGTATATTTAACCCCTGTGACCATGAAAGTGAATGAAAATATGTTTTTTACAAAACATCTATAGCACATAATGTCCACATGCTACCAGCCAAATATCATTATCGTAGATTTCTTGTTTATTCATTAGAAGTTGTTTGAACTATTAGATACATTATATATGTACATTTGACCCAGACGAACTTGAAAACAACTTTTTCACAACGTCATGATCAAACAGGCAATTTTGCGTGTCATTTTTTGCATTTTTAAATAAAATGGAGTAAACAGAGTTACTAACTTGTTAGTGTTTTGTTGTATACCTATCTGCCTTGTTAACTGTACTATTCTCATGGGTATTGCTTGATATAAATCATGTATTCTTGTCTGGTCAAGGCGATTCCAAATATCAGAAACGACTCTTCCTAATTCATCTTTCGACCTATGTCATGCATTCTGTTTGTAAATTTGTTTTTTAAAGTTCTCCATAGTTTTTCTATAATGTTAATGTCTGGAGAATGTTCTGAACAAATAATTGTTTCGATACCATTTTCCAGTGGGAGTTTTGTCTCGACACGTAAACGGGACAATTGCCTTTTTGTAATATCAGGGAAAGTTTTCAATTTTGTTCACAACTGGATCAATAAATGAACATTAAGTACATTTTGTATGTCCGTCCACCGATGGCAATACACCCACACTTTTTGAAAAGTTATACACCTGTATGACTGACTTGTTTGATCTTGGCGAATGAGCACTATATTGTCCGAGGCACTCAGTTTTCCACCCCTCGTCGGGTCTCACTGCATATTTTGTTCTGTCCTGATCCAAGACAATTTCCCCCGATCAAATAGTTAGAATTGCTGGCAGTCTGCTGGCATCCACGAAAAAGAAAATTAAACCTGGAATTAAACGTTGTGTTTCCCCCAGAGAAAAGTCTCCTTGTGATTGAAAACAAATGCTCATTCTGGGCGTTATACTGGGCTAATGTCTCAAAAGGATTTTCTCGGGGCCAAGGATTGTTTGTAATCAGTGTTTTGATTGGTCAAGTAAACAAAAGTGATATTTTGCAGTGAAAAATGTCACTTTTATAGAATGAATAATTTTCAATATATCACTTGTAAAATTTAATAAATTATTTGATTTTACTACAGGGAAGGTGTTACGTCTAAAAATCGTTTTGACGTCGACGTTGGCTCATTATGACACAGCACTGTAGGTCTATGTCGTTCATTTGAAAATCAGTCAAAGTATACCATCTATTCATGATATGGTCCCTTGGGGGATTCCTTCGTTTGAACAACGTTGACTTTACCTTGCCCTGCACAATTCCATCCCAAATGAGGTGAACAATCGTTCATCTGTACTTAATGGATAGCCTTTAAAAGGCTTAGGTACGTTTCCTATTTTTGGCTCCTATTTTCTGTCCCCTTGGGAGTCCTACCATTCTTTCATACAGCACTGAAATCTATTAAAATCACTTTGTCGAGAATGCTCTATGACGTTGATAGACCACGTGACAACAACAGACCACCTATCTATGGTGACTCATATATGACTTGGTTTCCCTCGAAAAGACGACAAACGACAAAAATCACTAAATAACCAGAAAAACTAAAGAGGGAGTGGAGACGGTTATTAATGTTTATGCTTTAGCATTGCTTTCCCTCCGTAAGTTGGGTTTTTAATCATTTCACATTGGCGGATGTCGGGCGTAAGAATTGTACCTGCATTGTAATTGCATGATCGGAAGGGGCGACTAAATTTGGGATCTTATCTTTTCTCTTCTTTCTTAACAACTTTCTTCTTCCTAATGTCTCCCTTGACAATGCCTCACTTTCGACCTTTAGTTGAGCGTTCGCCCATGTAAGGAAGGCTTTGGGTTCTGTCCCCTGGCCGAGACATACCAGGGTCTGTAAAAATCGTAGTTTCTACTCCTGCTTAACGCTCAGGAATTTAGGGGTGGGACGACTGGTTCGCCCGTTGTCAGTAAAATGTGACAGGGTGGGGAATCCTGCTGGGTGTCTACGGCAGTATGTTTCAGTGAGATAGCACTATAAACTCGGCATCAGGTCCGCGCTATCACAAGGAGACAAACACGAACATATCGCAGCCTCCAAAAACACACGCATACACTACACGCATGCATCTTGCACACAGGGGAGGCCGTCCTTGGTTGACCGTAGCTGTTTATAGGACGTTAAACAATACTAAACTAAACCAAACTTTGGCGGGTTTTCGTCTTTTCGTTAACCGCGTTACGCTTGACGTTATTTCGCAGGCGTCAACACGAAAAGACGAAATGTCATATTTGAGCGATTATATTTATCACTGATATGATAGTTTACGTAACACTGATGACCTACATGACATCAGCACTGTGTACAGACCACGCGACCTTGATAGACCACATACTTGTTTTAGTGCTGGTATTAATCTGACTTATTATTAAATGGGAACCGTTCGTTGAGAGTATGCCGTATCTACTAACATAAGGTTACTGTGATCGGTATCGCGTGTCAGAACGATTTTACGTCAAGGATCGCTGATCTGAGGAATTTGGTGGACCTATGGCATCTGTTCGAGGCAATAAACTTTGATGGATCAACAACAAAAACATGAGAAGCCTGTGTATCGAGGTTTTGCCGTCTACTAGATATTCGTCTAAATACTTTTTTGGATACACAACATAAAAAAGCCATATATGGTTACTAGATATGTTTGTTTGTATTGCTGTGTTCATTGGCACAGGAATGATTGATAAAAAAAGCACCCACTGACCGGAATAACCATATTGGAATTTTAATTTCCTGTTTGAATGGAGTTAATAGTCAAGCCCGTCAGTAAAACACGTACTCTATTCGTTATTCCAACGTATTGTATTGATTCCTGAGTTTTTCCATGGATTCAGTCCGAAATTGATTAAAAGACGGAGAACTGGTTCCTTGCTACCAATTAAAATGTTTTAAAAAAGTTGAATAATACCACCGCTAATGCCATCTCGTGAGCAAATAACAGAACTCTTAATACGGAACATGTTTGAATAATCTCGAATCTAATGTATCAATTTTAAGTGATTAGATAGTTGAAAGCAACATGAATTTTATGCATCAACTTGAGGTCAATTTCGGTGTAAATATATATTGATAAACAATCCATTGCTGATTTTGTGACGCCGACATTTCTGTTTCGACCTAGGTTCCACTGTTACGACCTAGGTTCCACTGTTGACGCCGACGTTTCTGTTTTGACCTAGGTTCCACTGTTTCGACCTAGGTTCCACTGTTACGACCTAGGTTCCACTGTTGACGACGACGTTTCTGTTTTGACCTGGGTTCCACTGTTTCGACCTAGGTTCCACTGTTTCGACCTAGGTTCCACTGTTACGACCTAGGTTCCACTGTTGACGCCGACGTTTCTGTTTTGACCTAGGTTCCACTGTTGAGCGAATTACCTAATTAGTAAATGGATGCAGTAGGTTAAAGATAGGTTTCTTCAACAAAACGAGACATTACGTTCCTAATTGTACAATGTATACCTCTCTGGAGTTTGAGCTACAATTATGGAGGCGTACAATATTACTGTCATTAAAGTATTTAAAGGATTCTTCCCATGTGATTCAGATTTATTCTTACTGAAATAAAAAGTTGTATATCAGCAAAAATGAAAAAAGGAGGTAGATAACCAAAAACGTCAAAGGCATGTGATATTCTGAGCAGCTCCCTGGCGCTACCACCTCTTCAGAGGCCCAGCAGGAGATGTGTTTATTTTGAAATAAATATGATGCTATGCACATTCATCTTCGCACCTAAAACAATCAGTATATTTGAGTCTTTAAAACGAAGTTTGTGGGTATATGGTTTTTACCCAGTTTCTTCTTCATTCCCACCGAAAGTTTGTCCGATCAATTATTTTCGGACACTAAAACTCAAACTCCCAATGAAACTTTGCATGAATATCGATGATCGAGACTAGGTGTACAGGAAATACCTATTTTTTAAGCTGCGCATCCATATAGCTGCGGTTGATTTTGATTGGTCGAAAAGAATATATCAATTATGGTAAAAATTGTTACATCGTTCGTGCGCTTGTATCATCCCATAACGAACAGTACAGTAACTACAGGATGAACCTCGTTTACGACTGCGCGGGTATTTTGGAGACTTCTGTAACGATCCCCGTTACAGTTCTAAAAAAAACCTTGTCTAAATTTAATTTTGTAATTTGCCAGTTTACACGGTCATTGCACCCCTTTTTCGTTCCCTTGCTATCTCTATTTTGACTGTATACATAATAAGGAGAATGGGTTGATTTAAACATTACGTGTCACACCGTTTGTCTTTCCTGTTGATATAGGCCCATCATTTGGTGCTTAGTTACCCCCTCATATAAGTAGTAGTAGTATTCTATAATAACCAGAAAGTTTAAGAGTCTTCAGCGTGACTTATTTATTTAAAAACTTAAAACGGTATTTTTTTCATTTTTATTTGATCTCAAAATAAAATATAAACATTTTAATATTCGAATAACTTGATCATCAGAAAGTATTTTATTCGACGGTATTAATTTTTCTACACACATTCAAAAGTTGAATTTGAATTTCTAAAACTTGTTTCAGTACGATTCTGGAGCCATTTCGTTTCTAAGTGATTAGTTTTGTTAATACCCTGGATTAATAGCAGTAAGAATTCTCGGTTAGCATCGTTATCACTGGAAGTCTCCTCTTTCTGAAATATTACTTCCGATCTATACTAGAAATAGCTGAAAATGGCTATTTGTACAATGTGTATGGTGTGTGTTACTGCTATTACATCATTCTCAT